GCCCTCTTACCTGTCCAGAAATCGGATGTCAAACAAGAATCTCTGTCCGGCCCCTATCACCCGTAATTAGAGGACTCAGTATGATGGGGTCCTTGGGATGCTACATAATAGGCCACCCTTAGGATGCCCTCGCACTGTGTCCGGGCTCAGGCTGGGACGTTTAGCAAAGAGTTTGAGGGTTCAATAGTAATAGTAGCCAGCACTTACATTGTGCTTTAAAGGAGCTTCCACTGGGGAAATCCTGCTCAGTTTTGATAGCTATAGCCAGGAGACTACTGTTTCAGTCCTAGCTTGGGCACCCCTTACCTGTGCGACCTGAAACAAGTCACTTTACTGCTCTGAGCCTTAACTTTCACATCCAGAAAATGGGAATGATAGCCAAGGAGTCCTTGAAATTCAGAATTACTTAATCAGTACCTGAGCAGGAATGGCCTTTATATCTACCCAAAGTGGTTGTGCAGCCTTTGCTCAAAGACCTTCACTGACAAAGGACTCACTGTCTCCTAATGTGGTCTATTCCATTCTTGGACAGATCTTATTCAATTTAATTCCATTCAAAAAACATGTGTTGGACATGTAATATGTGCCTATGTTACATTCTGGAGATGCAAAACAAAAACAAAAACTGTCTCTACTATCAAGGATCTGAAATTCTACTGGGAGGAGACAATAGGAGCAGAAATAACTGAATATAAAATATATAATAATTTTGGGGGGAAGGGCAGCCCTAACAACTGAGGGGCACAGGGGATCAAGAAAGTCCCAGCCTACAGGTGGAAGTTGTGTCGAACCATGAAGAGAGCCAGGGACTTCAAGAAGCAGAGATGAGAAGAAAGAACATTCCAGGCCTGGGGGAACAGATGGAATGTGGTGAGGAAGTACTGAGTAGCCCATTTGGGCTGGAATGTTGGCTTCTGTGGTTTTCCTTACATGGCATTACACTGCCTACCTTCTAGGGCTGTTAGGAGGATCAAATTATATCGTGACTGTGGAAGATGCTTTAGAAACCATAAAACACCATAGAAATAAATATATACTGATCACACACACACGCACACACACACACACACACACACAGATAGGATTTTTGATATCGTGTAGTCCAGCTAGCTCTCATCTTGCACATAAGGAAACAGTCCCAGAGAAATGAGAGGAGTTGTCCAAGGTAGTAAGGTAATCAAATTAACATTCAAACTCAGGTCCTTTGACTCCAAATGGAGCACTTCTTTTGTGGCAATCTTCTTGCTGCATACTGTGGATCCTCGTCCATCTCTAATAATAACAATAGCCAGTATTTATAGAGTACTTTAAAGTTAACAAGCCACTTTACGGATATTTCATTTGATCCTCACAATAATCCTGGGAGGCAGGTTCCATTACCATCCCCATTTTACATATGAGGAAACTGAGGTAGGCAGAGGTTAAATGACTTGGTCAGGGTCACACAGCTAGTAAGTGTCAGAGGCTGGATTTGAACTCAGGTTTTCTTGATTGCAAGTGCAGTCCTTTATCCACCATGCCATCTAACTGCCTCTAAGCTAATTTTCCTGAGTCTTATGGCATTTCTACCCCTTAGCAATATCAGGGTGATAGATTCTGGAAAGACCGTGCCAAATGTATATTGAATTTGGTGGTCCCCTCTACAGGAGATAGCATTGCTACACCCTAGCCAGGGGTACTCTGGGATCCAGAGAATGAATGTGACTTGACCAAGGTCATAAAAGTAGGAGAACTCAGACTGGGATGCTGGTGTATGAGGCTCAGAATCTCATTGGCTAAGGTACCTGTATTTCCCACTCCTACCCTAAACCTTGGCTCCTGGTTCTTTGCTCCCCATCCTCCTTTCCCTGGGATGCTAAGATCACATACCTCCTCCTTCTTCTCCTCCTTCTCCTAGTCAGTGGTTCCAATTTTAATTGAAGAGAGGGAGGTGCATTGCAGAGGTGGGGTGGGGGGGGTTGGAGGGAGAGGAGTAGGTGGGGAGGGAAAGAAGAAATGCTAAAGACAAAGCAGGAAATATATGTCTCTCCAGAATGAGAGCCCCACTAAGGGCCAGAGAAGGGGGGAGAGAGAGAGAGAGAGAGAGAGAGAGAGAGAGAGAGAGAGAGAGAGAGAGAGAGAGAGAGAGAGAGAGGAAAGGAAGGAAGGGGGAGGAAGGGAGGGAGGGAAGGGGGAGAGAGAGAGAGAGAGAGAGAGAGAGAAGAGAGAGAGAGAAGAGACAGAGACAGAGAGAAGAGAAGAGAGAGAGAGAGAGAGACAGAGACAGAGGAAAGGAGGAAGGGAGGGAGGGAGGGTGGGAAGGGAGCTCGCTGAGAAATGCTGCAGTAGCATTTCCAGACACTTCCTCATTAGGCCAGGCAGTGAGCTGGGTTCACCTCTGGACTGGACTGGCAGGACAGCTTAAAGACCATGCTGCCCATGGGGAAGGAGAGTAACAGCTGGGATGAGATGGGCCAAGGCCTGGGGAGGGGGAAACTCAGGAATCCCAGATATTCCGATCTCTCATTCCCACCTGGAGCATGCAAAAGGGCATGAGGGCAGAGGGGATGAGGTCCCTCTGGCAGGGACGTGAGTTAGAGCCAGGAGACACCTTCAGGGTGGTCTAAATAAATCCTTAATTTTCCAAATATAGAAACTAAGATCTGGAAGCTTCCCCTGAACTTTTTGTGTGAGCTTGGACAAATCACTTACCCAATCTCGATGCATCTTCTCATCTGTAAAATGAGACTTTTGAGAGGTTCTTAATCTTGGGGTCCACAGATAGATATCAGGGGTCTGTGAAGAAAATTATATATTTATATAATTGGTTTTCTTTGTAACTCTATGTGTTTTATTTTATGCATGTAAAAAAGATTTCTCTAAGAAGGGATCCACAGGCCAACCAGACTGAATCTCTAGTCTAGTCTGATCTCCAAGGTTCCTAACAGCTTGGTCAGTCTATGTTCTAAGGTTTCTTTCTGGCCTGACATTCTAGGTTTTAAGGTCCCTTCTAGCTTTGATATTCCAGATTCTAAGTTTCCTTCCATCTCTAACATTCAATTTAGAATTTAGTTCAATAGTCATTCATTAAGTGCCTCCTATGTAGAGGGCCCTACATTCAGTGCTGCAGATAAAAATACAAAAAAGCAGCCCAGTCCTTTCCTCCTAAGGATATTGTAATTGACTAATGATAGATATAACATGTACACAGATAAGGTAGAATGTGATGGGGCAAACGAGAGGTCCACCCAAAGTGCCCTATGAAAACCTGAGGCTCCCTTTAGGTTCCAGTCTCTTATTCTAGGACACTTTGGTTCTTTTACAAGGCAGGTGAAGTCTCAGAGGTCCATCCGTCCATCTGTCCCTTAGGCTGCTCCCCACACCTCTCCCCAGCTGCCCCCAGCTGAGCCTCACGTCCCAAGTTCTGCTCTCCTCAAATTGAACATGATGTCAAATTAGAACCATGGCGGGGACAGGCAGAGTGAAGCGCTCGGTTTAATGAGGCAGCGTCGAAAATCAATAACTTAATTGCAGCCGTTTGATGGACTTTTATCCAATTTATACTCTCCCCGACCAGCTACGTGCAGTGCATGAGGAGAGGGGGCCCTGTCTGGGTCCCCGGGGGGAGGGGGAGGGATGGCACCACTGCCCTGGACCGTGTCTTCCCCCAGCTTTCTCCCATGCTCCTCCATTCTGTGTTTTCCTCTTTCCTCTTCCTTTTGAGGGGGTGGGAGAATCCAGAGCTGGACACAGAGGATGTGGTGGAGCTGTCTCTCTGTAGCCCTCCCAGCATTCCTAGGAGGCTGAGCTGTGGGGCAGTGTCCAGAGGCAGTGACTCTTATTCTCTGCCAGCACAAAGCTTACAAGGCAGGTTTCTTCTTAGCTTTCAACCTTCCGCTACCCTCTGGCTGAGCCCATCCTGCAGGTACATCACTGAGGTCACAGCATGCAATACTGGCAAGAGTGCTGTATTTATCATTAAAGGGCTTGGGTTCTAAATCTTGGTTTTGCTACCTTACTCATGTGACCTAGGACAAGTGACAATCTCTCTGGGCCTCAGTTTCCTCATCTGAAAAGTACTCTTTCCATGCCTAAATCTTGTGTTTGCTTAAGGATCACGTCAGGGCTATCTTTACAGTCAGGTAAGGAAAAGATCTCTGGCCTGGGATGCAGGAGACCTGAGTTCTAGTCCATCCTTCACCTCTAATTTTAGTGTAAGACCTTTTGCAAGTGCCTTTCAGCTCAATAGAAGGAAAAACTTGCTAACACTAGAGCTGTTGAAAAGTAGAATAGATTGTCTGGAGGGGCTAATGAGTGTCCTGTCACTGCAGGTCAGTTGCGGGCGGAATGACTACTTGAAAGGGTTTTTGGAGAAAGGATTCTTATTTGGGTGTGGATTGGACCAAATGATCCATGAGTTCCCTTCTCTCTCTGTTCTGTGATTTGGTCCCTCTGGACCTGAACTTCCATTTCTGTAAGCAGAGGGTATAGGGCTATATAATCTGAGAGATGCCTTCTACCTCTGGTTTTTTTCCTCAGAGGCACTTAACAGGCCTAGAACTCAAGTCCTTCTAACCACATCCTCCTACCATCTATACTCCCACTAGCTGAGACATTGGGGTCACCTCCCCACCTCCTGTTCCTATCCCCATCCAAAGGAGAGAGGCAGCAGGGTATGGCTATGGCTCTGATCTAAGTGGCCAGGCTGGGAAAGGTCAAGGGAGTAGGAGGTAGCACTGTGTAGGGACAGCTAAGATCTGGCTCTGATTCACTGAAAAGTAGCTTAAGGAACTGTGAGTGAAGAAGATGGAGGGAGGGTAGCAGGAGGCATGGAGGTGATGGGAACTTAGGGAGAGAGAGCCAGGGGCTTGGTGAGGGGGCTGAGGACTCAAAGAGGAGATGGGGGTGGGGGCTCAGTAACACCTCCCAGTGAGTCTCTTTTCCCTCTCAGGCTCCAGGCAGATGATCTCACAACCGTGTCTCTCCTTGGTCCCCCCTACCTTCCCCCTCCATGGGCCCAGGCACTTCAGTAATGCAGGTGATGGCATCAGATGCAGATGACCCCACCTATGGGAGCAGCGCACGACTGGTGTACAGTGTCCTGGATGGCGAGCATCACTTCACTGTGGACAACAAGACAGGTGAGGAGCTCTGTGGAGGGTGCTTGGCAGAAGGGATGGCAGACTCCTACGGGCCCTGTATCCTAGAAACTGATCCCAGTGGGCTAAGGGGGATTATGAAGGGAGAAGAGGCTGAGGAATCCGATCCTTCCCCAAGGCCAAATATAGTATGATGGGAGGACAGCCATGAAAAGATGGAGGATAACTCTTGGGAGGTACCAGGACAAAGGTATTAAGGGATTAAAAAAAGAGAGAAGGATGGAATAATGATGATGATGATGATGATAACAATAAAAATAATAGCTGACATTTATATAGCAATTACTGTGTGCCAGGCTCTGTACTAAGCATTTTATAATTATTATCTCATTTGATCCTCACAATAACCCTGGGAGGTAAGTACTATTATTATCCCCATTTTACAGATGAGAAAATTGAGGCAAACAGGAGTTAAGTGCCCAGGGATATATAAATCTGAGGGCAGACTTGAACTCAGGTCTTCATGAATCCTAGATAGTTGCTCTATCCACTATGCCACCTAACTGGGGAGCCAAAGGCCCAGAGAAACAGTGGACAAGGGAGATGGGAAGATAGGGGACAAGGGAATGAGAGAGAACAGGTTGGGAGGCAAAAGAACAGAGGAAAGAGGACATGGGGATGAGGGAGAGGAGCAAGGAGAATTGGAAACAGGAAAGTTGGGTGAGTCGGAGCAGTAGGGTGGAGGGATAGGAAAACAGGAATAGTATGGAGGCCATGGGTGAGGGGAATGAGATGGGGCAAAGAAGGAGGTCGAGAATTGAGGTCAGGGACAGAGAGATGAGGTGGGAACAGTGGGGTGGGTGTAGAGGAGCAAGCTGGACACATAGGAACAGAAAGGTTGGAGAGAGGGATAGGAGGATGGCCTCTGAAAGTATGCCATCAGAGCTGAGCCGGGCCCAGCCAGAAGCCCATATCCCCAGAAAGAAAGTAGGGAATGACAAAGAGGAGGATGGGACACCTTTCAGTCAGCTAGTTCAAGTTTCAAACATAGCATTCCCAACCTCCTGTGCTGGATTCCCAAAGTTTCTGCTGCTCTTTGCCCCCAAAAGATTAGCTCCCCATATCCACAAGCCAAATTTGTATTTTATGTAGTCCGAATGCACCGAAAGTTCTTGAACAGGGCGAATAATATGGTCAGAGTAGTGCACTGGGAAGTGGGAAGATGCCTCTGACTGCATATAAAGGAGAAACTAGGAGCTGGGAGAGCAGTTAGCTAGAAGGCTGTTAACTGTAATCCAGAGGAGAAGTGACATGGGCCTGGGCTCAGGTGGTGGTAACGGAGGGAGAAAGGAGGGGACAGATGCCAAAGATACAGCAGAGAAAGAATTGAAGGGTCCAGTGACTCACTAGATATTGGGGACTCCAGGGGGGGGCAGGTAGTTCTAAATCAACAGGAATACAGAAATTAGGATGTGGGGTAGTTTTAAGGGGGAAACAGGGTGAATTTAGTTCTGGACATGTTGAATTTAAGATGTTGGCAGAATATCCAGATGAAAATGTCCCGTAGGCATTTAGGGATGTTGGCTGGAATCTTGAGGAGAGGTTAGGGTTGAGGGTCTAGATTTGGGAACCATCCACAGAGGTGATAGTTTGAGCCACGGGAACAGCTAAGGTTTCCAAGGGAGAAAGCATAGAGAAAGAAGATAAACAGTTCCAGGGCAGAGCCTTGGGGAAAATCCAAAGTTAAGAGGGGAAAGGAAGAGGAACTCTCAAGAGACAGAGAGGGAGTGGGGAAGAATATGATAAGGAAACAGAGGCAAAGGAAAGAGAAGTTTTCAAGGTGTTGATCAAGGCAACCAACAAAGTGTGGCAGAGAGGAGGAAGAGGATAGAACTGAGCAATGGCCATTGGATTTGGCAAGTAGGACTTCACTGGCCCTGTGTTTAATGGAAAGAATGTTTGAGTAAGTGGATTGAAATCCTGACTCTGCTTCTAACCAGTTGTATAGCCTTGGGCAAGTCACTTCCTCTCTGGGCTCCGGGTTTTGTTTTTATTTTTCCATTTGTAAAATGAGAAGACTGGACAAGATCAGAGATTCTCTCTTTTTTTGAGACCCCTTTCCACTCTTTTTTTTTTTAAGGCAATTGGGTTTAAGTGACTTGCCCAGGGTCACACAGCTAGTAAGTGTCAAGTGTTTGGTTTGAGGTCAAATTTGAACTCAGGTCCTCCTGACTCCCGGCTGGTGCTCTATGCACTGTACCACCTAGATGCCCCTCCCCTTTCCACTCTTAAGAAATATTGAGAACTTCCCCAAAGAGATCTTTGTTTATGTGGGTTATATCTATCCCATGTTTAGCATAGTGCCTGGTACATTGTAGGTGCTTAATAAATGTTTATTGATTGATTGATTTATCAATACTTAAATTAGGCCGGTTTAATATTATTATGAAAATTAATAGTTTCCACCTCAAGGATCCCTTGAAAAGGGAACCCAAGAGGTCCAATTAGTGAGTCAATCAGTCAATAAACATTTATTAAGCATCACAGTGCTTAGGTACTAAATACCCAAACTGCTAAGTGTTAGGGTACAAAGAAGACAAAAGATAGTTTTGGCCCTCAAGGAGCTTAGAATCCGCTGAGGGGAAGACAATACATAACAGGAAGCTGAAAAGGAGGGGAAAGATGAAGCCCAGAGGGCTGCACTTAGGTAGGACACGAAGGTATGGTTAGCCTGGGCACTCTCCTTTAGTGGAGGATCTGGGACTACATTTGGAGAACCTCTGGACCAGATGATCTTTAAGGTCCCTTCCATCTCTAGAAATCTATGGTCTTAGATGAATTAACAATAATTACTAGCATTTATATGGCATTTTAAAGTTTGCCAAGAGATTTAGCCATATTCTCATGTAAGCCTCACAAAAACTTTAAGGTAGATACTACAGGCACTGTTATCCTCATTTTAAAAATAAGTAAACTGAGGCTGAGAGGTGGTCACATAGCTAGTATCAGAGGTAGGTTTTGAACCCAGGTCACAGAATCATAGCATCAGGGGTTTAGAGCTAGAGGGGATCTTGGAGGCCACTGAGTCCAGCTACCTACTTTTACAGAATAGGAAACTGAGGCATAGAGATGTTAACTGATCTACCCTGGATCAAAAAAACTAATGAGTGCCTTAAGGCAGGATTTGAATTTAGTGGGTGTTCCTAATTTCCAGTCTGATACTCTATCTGTGAAACCATGCTGCCTCCATAATTGAGATGAAAGCCCGAATGCTGGGAGTTAAGGAGAGATTGGGTAATGAGGAAATAGAAGATGTGGTTGTAGACTCAGAAGTTTCTCTGTTCTCATTAATGTCCTGGGCTGTGCTGATGCTAACTACCATTTCTGTAGTGCTTTATAATTTACAAAGGACTGTCCTCACAACATTCCTGTGAGGTAAGTAGTTATCCCTCATTATACATATTGGGAAACTGAGTCCCAGCACTATTACACTAAACTGCCTCCCTCCTCTGTTTTCCAGGCTATATGCCATGACAGCCCATTTTCCTGTGGAAAAGAAGATAAGAAATCATAGGATTTAAATTTGGAAGGGACCTCAGGGATCACCCTATTCAACCTCTCACTTTAGATGAGGAAACTGAGTCCTGGAGGGAAATTATGCATGGTCATAGGGGAAGGAGCAAAGTCAACCCCTTACTTTCTCAGGATTTGGGAAACCCTTAGGGGCCTCCTGTAGAGAGAGGTCCTGTCCAAAGGAGGGTCTAAGGGGCAGCTAGATGGCACAGTGGATAGAGCAATGGCCCTGTAGTCAGGAAGACCTGAGCTCAAATCCGGCCTCAGACACATAACACTCACTAGCTGTGTGACCCTGGGCAAGTCACTTAATCCCAATTGCCTCACCGAAAACAAAACAAAAAAAAACCAAAGGAGGGACCAAGTTTCTCCAGTCCCTTCTTGGTTACCCTGCTCCCAATCCACTCTCCCTTCATGGTTCCTCTTTCCCCTTCTGTCCCCTCCTCTGGGCTCTCATCTCCCTACAGTAACAGGGCTGTTGCCAGACCTGGCTCAGAAGCGTGTTTCATTCCATAAGCTGGGAATATGAAACTGATAACATTCTCTGGGCTATATTTAGCAGATGCTCAGTGGTACAGTCTGTTCTCACTGTGCAGTTAGCAGGGAGCATAGCCGGAACGGAGCCTTGAGATGAAGGTGTGAGAGAGAAAAAAGAGAGACAGAGACAGAGAGAGAGACAAAGACAGAGACAGAGAGACACAGACAGACCTAGACACAGACACAGAGAGAGAGAGAGAGAGAGAGAGAGAGAGAGAGAGAGAGAGAGAGAGAGAGAGAGAAGAGGAAAAAAAGAGAGGGAGAAAAAGCCCTCCTTGTAAGAGGAGAAATTAACTTGTATGTTTTAAAGGCCAAATCTCCCAACGTGGCCCCCATCATCTGGAACAAGAATGGCATTTGTGTGACTAATGAGGCATCTCACGCTGTGCCCCTCCGTGGACCCTGCAGCAGCAGCTGGAGGGGAAACAGCTGGATGCTTGGCCCTGGAAGTGTGAAGGATGGGTTAGAATGGGGCCAGAGGGAGTGGGGTAGAGTAGCCATGTCACAATTATTAGAGAGCTCTAATCCCTCTCAATTCACCACCTTCCCAGCCCACCCCTCAGAACAAATCTTGCCACCTCCTCCATGTGGTAGAAAGAGCCTAGCCAGAAATCCTCAGCTCTGTCCTGAGAAAACCCACAGACTTTTTAGAGAATTGTAGATGTCAAGTATCAGTCGTCAAAGGCTCCTAGAATTATAGAATGGCAGAACTAGAAAGGACCTTATAGGACTGGAAGGAACCTTAGAATATAGGATATAGAATTTCAGAGCTGGAAAAGACCTTAGAAAATAGAATGTCAGTGTTGGAATGGGTCTTAGAACGTGAAATACAGGGTGTCAGAGCTGGGACAGGCCTTAGAACATAGAATATTGACTGCACATAGAACATAGCTGGAAAGAACCTCAGAGACCATTGAGTCTAGAGGAGGAAA